GAGGGGGAAAAAAGGGGGGGGGGGGGGAGAAAACTAATGCAGCCGCCACATCTGTGGACTGGTAATCTGCAATATGACATTATTGTATTTGGAGGTAGGCACGCTTTTTGTTTGGTGGGTCAGTTAAGATAATAAACACAGGACAGATATGAGTTCATGTAGTCGGGCTTTGTTTTTCTGCCCCTGAAGCGTGCCGTGTCATCAATTTCTGATCCCCTTTAATTTATTGGAACTGACCCCCCACCGGGTACATGAACGTGTGTTTGAGTATCACTGCGTTAGGATGTAGAACACAACATGCGTCAGTACATCCCATCTATACAATCACCAAGGAAAGGTTTAGGCCCATTCACACCGAGTGACGCATATGCAGGTGATTTAGAGGCATGTTGTGCGTTTAGATGCAACGTGCAGTACAGGAGCAGACAGACTTCTAAAAGGCTACTCCTGAAAAACGTGCACAAAAATGCATCTTCCAGGCGCTCCCATTAAAGGGATCTAAAAATGTGCAGTTCTGCCCCAACGAAGCTCATTTCCATTTTTAACTTCAGGTGACAACGCTTGGCTGCGCGGGGGCCCCATTGAGAATATTAGGATTCCTCATCTTGAGGCTCACACCTAGACAACAACTCACCTGCACGATTGCCACATGGTCAGGAGTTGCCAAGGTGTGAACCGATCACAGTGTGGGTGCCATTATTTTCTACTGGTGTGGTATTCCGCCCGTACTTCCGACCACGATCACGTCTAAAACAGCCGCACGTCGCGTATCGCAAAAAAAAAGGTACATGTACCTTTTTTTTCTGCGATTGCCGCCCGCATGTCACCCCACTGAAATCAATGGGGCCGCGCGGCAATCGCTACCTGCATTCTGCAGGACCGCGCGATCCCAGATGTCATGCCATGCAGTGCACCTAGTGAACCTAGCCTGAGCGTTGTCACCCTTCAGGAGTCATTCCGCAAATCCCTGAGCTGTGAACGGGGCCTTGTATGTGGAACGAGTTACTATGTATCCCTTTGTGAGCTGTAAATGGCGATAATAATAAACTTTTTGGTTCTTTTTGTTTTTCCGGCTCTCTGTTGGCCGCACACAGCGCACCTCCCCAAGGTGGTGGCTTTTAAAAAACATCGCTCTGCTCTTGTAGCGGTGGACTTATCTGTACAGGGCGGGGAGGCGCTCAGTCTGATCTACAATCAGCTCGGAACAGTCAGGCAGCGGCTGGACGGACGCTTTTCCAGGCCGGCTAACCTGCGATTGACAATCTTCCTGAGCTATTGTAATACTAAAAATACAACCGTTATTCGTCACTCGCCGCCAGTTCACACCCAGAAATCCCAGTTTAAGCTGGAAGTGTTTAACCTCCCTGGCGGTATGATTATCTCAGTATTTTTCTTTTTTTACTTTTGAATTTCTCGCCGGTTCCGCCCCCCTGCAATGCCGGCACTCGCAGGGAAGGAACCCTTTAGATGCCCAAGTGTGGCTCGGGGTTACCGCTTTTGGTACGGAAAATTTACCCTCTACCGCCAGGAAGGTTAAAGGCCAAATCCGGGCTTATTTATAAATAAATAAATAAAAAGATACTGCGGCTATCAAGACACCAAATACAATAGTCAGCTACTGTACAAAGCAGACCGCAACAGAGCCAGGACTACAATTCCCACCTCAGTGCAGCTGATCTCCTCCAGCGTCGGCTGCACATCACTGCTCTGGACCGGCTCCCTGATACTGGCATCGATGGACTGTGCCTTTATAATGCATGTCGGCATGGCCACTTGTAGTCTCCACAAAGGGGCGCATGTGACATGGTGGCAATGCAGTAGCACAACTGGGAGAAAGTTGTCACCCTATAACAGGAAGTGCCTGCACAACGACCTTCCTGGCAGGATCATCGGGGGATTTTTTTAATGAGAGTTGCAGATTTATAAGATTGAACCCGACTTCTGAAACAACTTTAACCTGTTAAGGATGTGAGATTTCAGTGACTGGGATTACGACTACTTCAACCTCTTGCCGCGCGGCAGGAGTCGCTCGGGCCGCGCTGCAAGAAAACTACAACATTGCTCAGTTCAAATCCCCTTTCGCCGGATAATGCTTTTTCTTGCCGACCTGAAGTGCCGCTTTTATTGATTAAATGTTAGAAAAGTCAAAGAAATAACATTATATTTATATTATATATACATACAGATATACACACACACACATAGGAGCACAGCGAAGCACACTGAATGTACATGAACGCAGCGGTTGGGAAGTGGAGGAAGCATGACAAAGCATTAGACATGAAGTGAGATTTCCCTTTAATTAACCTTCGCTCTTTCTGACATTACAAGCCGCTGTCAGATGCTGCAAATAGTGTGGCGGGCTGATAACGCGGAGCAATAATACCAGAGCTGCACTATAACACATGGGCGGCCACTGTGGAGGAGAGACATTTATTATCAGCTGGCAGGCAGAGTAACAGCAATGTATATGGAGGGTGTGGGGGGGGGGCATGTACAGACTGCCGCCAGCTACAGACAGGTTTAAAGGGACAGCACCCCTCAACGTGATACTTCAGTGTCTGATGGGTTCCGGAGATGTAAATTTCCTTTAAGCCCCTTCGATCGACACCTGTTGTGCCCATTATGAGGGGCTACCATCATCCCTGAGATGAGTTCCTGGGTCTATACACCTGCTGTGCCCATTATTAGGGGGGGCTCCCACCATCCCTGTGCTGAGTTCCTGGGTCTGTACACCTGCTGGGCCTATTATGAGGGGCTCCCACCATCCCTGTGCTGAGTTCCTGGGTCTGTACACCTGCTGTGCCCATTATGAGGGTCTCCCTCCATCCCTGTGCTGAGTTCCTGGGTCTGTACACCTGCTGTGCCCATTATGAGGGGCTCCCACCATCCCTGTGCTGAGTTCCTGGGTCTGTTCACCTGCTGTGCCCATTATGAGGGTCTCCCTCCATCCCTGTGCTGAGTTCCTGGGCCTATACACCTGCTGTGCCCATTATTAGGGGGGGCTCCCACCATCCCTGTGCTGAGTTCCTGGGTCTGTACACCTGCTGTGCCCATTATGAGGGTCTCCCTCCATCCCTGTGCTGAGTTCCTGGGTCTGTACACCTGCTGTGCCCATTATGAGGGGCTCTCACCATCTGGGTCAGAATGTGGAGCACAGAGACACTATTAGAGGGGTGACTGTCCTGCGTCAGGTCATGAGGGAAAGGCATTCTCCCACCACTAGGGGGCACATTTTACATTGATGTCTGGGATGGCAGAAGAGAAGGGGGCAGAGGGTGACTGTGCTGACCTTACAACTGAGGGTACATGTCAGGGGGGGTCAAAAGAATCACGCTTGCAGGTCATAGTGTCCCCCCCACCTCCATCCATTAAGATAGGCCTCTACAGAGGGGGCAGGGTGCAATCCTTCCCTCAGTCCCTTAGTAAAGAGGGTGGGTCTTGTGTCTCCTCCTCACATGGGGTAAATATTACAGTAGTAGGAGGGGCAGTTTGACATCCTGCCCCTATACAAGGGGTAAGAACTTCATATAGCGGAGGTAAGTATTCTGTGGAGGGGGCAGTAGTTTCCTGTATAGGTGAGGTAAGTACTCTGTGAAGGGAGGGTAGTCCGTGAATAGGAGGGGTAAGTACTCTGAAGGGGGGGTAGTCATGGAATAGGAGGGGGTAAGTACTCAGAAGGGGGGTAGTCATTGAATGGGAGGGGTAAGTACTCAGAAGGGGGGTAGTCATTGAATGGGAGGGGTAAGTACTCAGAAGGGGGGTAGTCATTGAATGGGAGGGGTAAGTACTCAGAAGGGGGGTAGTCATTGAATGGGAGGGGTAAGTACTCAGAAGGGGGGTAGTCATTGAATGGGAGGGGTAAGTACTCAGAAGGGGGGTAGTCATTGAATGGGAGGGGTAAGTACTCAGAAGGGGGGTAGTCATTGAATGGGAGGGGTAAGTACTCAGAAGGGGGGTAGTCATTGAATGGGAGGGGTAAGTACTCAGAAGGGGGGTAGTCATTGAATGGGAGGGGTAAGTACTCAGAAGGGGGGTAGTCATTGAATGGGAGGGGTAAGTACTCAGCACGGGGAGGGTAGCTCCCTGTATAGGTGAAGTACTCTGGGGAGAAGGGTAGTTTGCAGGAGCAGTCCTCTATAAATGGGAGGGGGTATTTGTATAGATTGGGGGCAGCTGGAGTTAAATAGACCATAGTCCTCCACGGGGGGCGACAGATATCACCAAAGCATTACTATGGTAATGAGGTGGGCGTTCCCCGGGGCAATTGTTCTAGGAGAGGGGCAGATGTCACTCTGGGATGGGGGTTGACAGAATACAGACGGCTCCCTTAGAGGAATATACCCCCCGTCCTCCCTCAGGCCCTTGAGTAAGAGACAGACCCCAGGCCGCCGCCCCGCTCACCTTTGGCCGCAGCTCGAGCTGAGCGGTCCCTCCTGTCCCGGCTCCGCTCTACACAGGAGCCGCAGCCATGATGGGGGGCGGAGCTGTCCGCGCCGACGTGCGAGGGCGACCGTCAAAACGCAAGGAGGCAGGTGCCACGCCCCTTGGTTGCCCCGAGCGCAGAAGGGACAACCAATCAGACCCAGAGTTAGGCATTATAGGCGGTTCTAAACAAAAGCAAGGTCAACTATAGGAGGGCGGTGGGGGCCACTAGTTAAAGCGAGGCTTGGAGTGCAAAGTAGCCAGCTCTGGGTTGGCCTAGATTCCAGTAGGCGGGGGACAGACGCAAGAGGGAGCGTGTCCTGTTAAAGGGACACAGCGTCCTTTGACACTGAGTCACCTCTGGCTGAACTGTGTACACAGAATATCTCCCTCTGTATACAGAATATATATCATTATACAGAATATGTACCTGTGTATACAGAATATATATCATTATACAGAATATCTCCCCGTGTATACAGAATATATATCATTATACAGAATATCTCCCCGTGTATACAGAATATATATCATTATACAGAATATCTACCTGTGTATACAGAATATATATCATTATACAGAATATCTCCCCGTGTATACAGAATATATATCATTATACAGAATATAGTAGGTATATAGAAGTAGGTAGGTGGGGATATACCGAGTTAAGAGGAGGTATATAGAGGTAGTTGAGGGTAAACATGTAAGATGGGGTATATAGAAGTAGAAGGGTGTATATAGAAGAAGGTAGGCAAGGCTATAAAGAGGTAGGAGAGGGATAAACCGAGCTAGGTAGGTGGTATACAGAGGTAGAAGGAGGTAGGTGGGGTATACAGAGCTAGGTAGGTTGTATACAGAGGTAGAAGGTGGTAGGTGGGGGTATACAGAGCTAGGCGGTATACAGAGGTGGTATATACAGTGATCGGAGGGAGTATACAAAGCTAGGTAGGTGGTATACAGTAGTAAGAGGTGGTATATAGAGATAGGAGGGGGTATATAGCGGTAGAAGCTGGTATAGAGAGATAGGAGGGGGGTATTAAGAGGTGGTATGCAGAAGTAGGGGGGTGTTATACACAGGAGGGGGGTATCAGTGGTAGGAGGGGGTATATACAGAGAGCAGTGGCGTAGCGAGGGGCACTTGCCGCCGGGCTGAGTGGTCACTACTGCAGGGTTGTGGAATTCGTATCACCTGACGTCTAGGACATGTAGTTCCAAATGCCGGGTGGGTAGTTTTTTTCCCACATTTAGCCCTGCTTCGGGCAAGCAGTGTTAAATGTAGTGCAGTGGATCCGTTTTGTACAAGTGATCTTAGGCGGCTGTCTGTACAGCCTGCTCATCACCCCCTCGCTCCTCCTCACCCTTCCATGGTCTGTCCCCTCCGCGTACCCCACCACCCGCCTCCCTCAGCATCGTGGTTTTCGGCTTCCCCGCTCCTCTGGGGGACCCACGGCAATCACTTCAGGATGGAGAGCGGGGAGCAGAGCGAAGGACATCTGCACTCGCAGCCTTCTCATCTCCACTGTCACAGGAGTTCCAGCACAGTATTGTGCTAGAACTCCTGTATTGGAAGTGACAGGTTCAATAAAGAGAACCTGTCACCTCCAAATGCTATCACACAGGGGCTTGTTTGCTCCTGTGTGATAGCAATAATGTTAAGTGAGAAAAGTGGACAAAAGTAAAAAATAAAATAAAACAAATAAAAATGAAAAACAATTGATAAAAAGTAACAAAGAATAAAATAAATAAAAATTATTATTAATAATAATAATAATGAATGAATCTGTACAGCCCAAACTGAGACCCCCGCAGGCCAAATGAGACCCCACACAACCCTCCTGGCTACCTAAAAATCACATTGCTGTATAATATATTGCTGGGATTTGTAGTCCTCTATAGCTGATGGTATCCTGCATTGCTGTATAATGCATTGCTACGTGGTGGGCCTCCATGGTGGATCAGTGTATTTATACCCATTTCTGTGCTCTCTTTTGGTGCGGCAGCACCCCTCCTGATCCACCACGGAGGTGAGGCTTGATATTACTTTATTCAAGTCTCTCCTCCACGACAGATTAGAAGCGGCAGCATCGGGAAAATAGAAGTGAGCCCAGAAGTGGCTCCTAAATTAGCAAAGCAGCACCGGAGAATGAGGCGATTTGAAGCCTCACCTCTGCCGTAGATCAGAAGGCGAAAACCTAGGCAGGGATCCAGACCATTGATCTATGGTTTGGTTCGTAGGGGGGGCTAATGAAAGACTTGCCCCCGGGCACGCCATGACCTTGCTACACCTCTGACAGAGAGGTGTTGTTATACACAGGGAGGGGGGTATCAGTGGTAGGAGGGGGTGTATACAGAGAGGTGTTGTTATACACAGGGAGGGGGTACATATACAGAGAGGTGTTGTTATACACAGGGAGGGGGTACATATACAGAGAGGTGTTGTTATACACAGTGGGGGAGGAGGAGGCATCACTGGGAGAGGTGAGATGTCACTTGTGACCTTGCTGCTTTATGCAGAGGAGACCTAGGAAGAGGGCGGAACTCGGCTGACTTGTGGGCGGTACCCACTTGACAGGTGGGCGGGGCACATCCCAGGTCGGGGTGCGCCTTCTTTCCCCGGTGACTGTCAGCTGACACGGAAGTGGGCGGTCTCTTGGTCAGCTGATCTCCGTATAAGAAGACTACCAGACGGTTGGTGTCATTGTACATCTTCGATTCCCCCGATCCGTTCAACATGGCGCTCAGCGATGCCGACGTCCAGAAGCAGGTGAGCGTGCATGGTCCTTAGGAGAGAGAGGAGTATGTGATGGAGCGACCCCCGTGATGTGGGCGGACGGCTCCCGATAATCTCTGAGGCCCAAAATTGTCATTATTGTAGCAGAAAAAAAATAAATCCAGATGGAAGTTCTCCTCTTAGTGGGTGGATTGGAGTATTTTCTTAGTATGGGGGTCCCCCCCCCTTCACGCCCCCCCTCCACCTTGGGGGTCTTCCAGAGTCGAGAGGGGGTGACTGGGATGTTTTTTGTGTGAAGAGGCAGATAGGATTCCCATAGGGTGAGGGGATGGGGTTGCTCCAACAGGATGAAAGGGATGCACGGGGGTCTCTGCATTGAGATGTGGGGGTTCCCATGATGGATTATTTGCTGTACCTCTGCATCTATAAGAGGTTCTGCAGCAGCTGTGCCCAGCCATGTTGGGTATCCATTGAACATGTTCTTATCTAATATCCACCATTATGGTGTTGGTAACCCCCCCCCCCCCCCCCCCCCGGGTCTCGATGAGGTACTTAGTTATAGGCCATTTCTATAAAATCAAGAGCCCAGACAGGACGAGTAGTGTTGATCCCCGCTCTCTCTGAGTCAGTGCTGATCATCTGACCAGTGTGGGGAATTGGTGACGGTCACATGACGGCAGAATCAGGAACTAAGATTGTCCATTGTGTTCATACAACATGTCATTATTCCTGGGGACCGCAGGAGGGATTCAACACTGGGCTGCCTGGGGAGAAACTACAACTCCCAGCATGGTGCCACTTCTATGGTGCTTCCTACACATGGCCGCTGGTGTTGCATGATGGGTTAAGTGTAGGGAGCTATGAGGTCGATCGGTGGCTGCCTTTTTGTGGAGAGCCTCAGTGTTGAAGTGCCCCTGTCCTGATAGAAGTATGCTCCTATTTCTATTTTTTGCAGGTCAGTGACTCGGAAAACATTGCAGCCAGAGGATCCGTATGACAGACAGGAACGAAAAGTAAGGAAGGAGAGGAAGGAGAAGGGAGGGGAAGGAGAAGAGAGGGGGGGGGGGGGGGGGAAGCCGCCCTCCAAAGCAATATCACCCTTTGTTATTCCCCTGTATTGGGTGCAAATTACATTGGAAGCTTCTAATACGAACATGGAAAGGGCAGCACTGAAGTCTGCAGGCTACTAAGCCAGCACCGGGCTGAACGCTGACACTTCAGGCTGCATTTCCAGGTCAGCGGCTCGCCTGTTGTTGACTATAAACAGCGATGTCGGTTCGTTCTGCTCCTGGCTGGAACGATGGCGAGTCTCAGGTTAGATGGCATCCAGCTGGAGCAGGAATCGTGTGTAGGAGGAGGCGGACGCTGTGTTTGGGGAACAACAGAGCCTGTCCCTCCTGTAAACAGTGGGCTTAGGTGTGTAGACAGGTCCTCTTCATGTCATATAAGCTAGGTTGGGCTTCACACTTCTAAGCTTCTGACAGTGATGATTCCCCCAGCTCCTCCCATTGTAGAGATCCTGCTTTCTTACAGATAGAATGTCCATAATGCTTCAAATACTGGGGAGCCTATTGAGGGGGGGACACCATCATCCAGCTCTTATGTCTGCAGCAGTTGGACTGAACTAGGAAACCTGTACACAAGTTTCACCCCCCTTGCAGAAAGGGGGGTTATAGTGCTGTTTTTGCTTTTGTACAGCCCCCCCCCCCCCCCTCACTTCTTGTCTAGTGGAACCATTGTCACCAGGAGTATAAATCTTTTAGGTCTCATTCACTTCGGCTGCAAAGGTTGCCCAACTAAGATCCAACATGGCGGCCACTTGTCACACCTGTCATGTTTGGCAGAAGGTGCCACGTGCAAAATGTGATCATGCCACAACCTCTTTGTACATTGGGGGTGGCACGGTACAGCAATGCAAAATCCACCTTGGGATTAAAGAGGCGGCAGTGTCGCCTCCTGGACGCCTGTATACCAACTGTCAACCACCCACTAACGATTGCTTTTCAGAGGGCGGTAAAAGTCTGCCACCCATGTGATCCTAGCCTAATGGGCCCCACACGGAGGTAAACACCCAACAGGGGTTTTCACCCCCCCCACCCCCACCCCTTCCTTTACCATCCAAAGCTAAAAAATGTTTTGGCTGGACATATGCTTTACAGAAGTCAGGACACCGTCCTATAGCTCGGTTCTGTAGCTCTTCTGATTCATTTATATAGCACTGACACTTTACACAGTGCTGTACATAGTCCACATTCACATCAGTCCCTGCCCTCAAGGAGCTTACAATCTAAGGTCCCTATCTCGCATGCATACAGGGCCAACTTTCACAGGAGCTAAATAACCTTCCAGCATGTCTTTGCAGTGTGGGAGGAAACCAGAGTACCCGGAGAAAACCCACACAAGCACAGGGAGAACATGCAAACTCCATGCAGGTAGTGTCCTGACTGGGATTTGAATCGGGGACCCCCAGTGCTGCAAGGCAGAAGTGCTAACCACTGAGCGTCTGTTCTGATGCTGCATCTCCCCTCCAGATTTCTGAGGTGTAGTTGCCTCTGGTCACTTCATGTGCAACCTCGGCTCCGCAATCACAGGCCCGTGTCACACTAGCAATCCTCAGCAACTTACCAGCGACATTGATGCCAAGAGACTGACTACCCTCTCCTGTGGCATCAGTCCTCTCCTGGTGAAATGCTGCAGAACATGGCTGGTGATCAATGCCGGAGTGGCATGTCGCTGGTTCTGCCTGTTGGGCAAAGACCCCTCCAGGAGAAGGGGAATCGGTCTTTTGACGACTGTCGCTGGCAAGTTGTTGTGGATTACCTGTGCGGCACAATGCTTGACTTGTGAGATGACCTGAGCAGTCCCTGTGACCTCCAACGTCTTCTGTTTCCTAAATATCTGTGGAATTCAGAGCTAGTGTTATGAGTGTCTACAAAGAGGCCCTGTCACCGCTCAGTCTGCCTCCTCTTATGTCTTACATTAAAGTCTGTATTTGCTAGTTGGGCACATCTGTATAGGGGCTCTTGGTGGATGAGGAACAGTGCATATAGTTGGCCAATTGGATGGAATCAGGACTTCCATCCAATGAGGGCACTTCTACTGACCGCAGAGGGGCTCTCATTGGACAGTGCAATAGCTGTTGCTGGAGACTGGAAGCTAGTTTCAGCGAGGTCAAGGATTTTCCGCATTTTGATTCGGGCAGAACTTTACATTTAACTGACAGGTTCTCTTTATAGAGTAATGCTGGTTGCATGTCTACAGAAAACAGTCCGATCTAGATTCTTTTATCCCACACAATCATTTAACAGCGTGCTCATAAAAATGATCTTGGGTCACCATACTACGCTGACCGATAAACCATACTCGGCTTCGCTGGCCATGCATATGGCAAAACGCAGCCCGCATGTGTGTCCTGGTGCATCGGCGTTCTTTGTGCACACCAACCAGTGGAGAATGGTTTAGAAGATAGAGTCCGGGAGATGGAGGAACTCATCCACACATCCAGAGACACGCTGGGTACATTTACCACAACCTGGGCATGCTGGTTGCATTTCAAAACGACGCCGGGGTACACGACACATCAACACTCCCGTTAAGATTTCCTATGGACTACATAGGCTCATTGGGGAACCACCTGTCTTGACTGGGTTTTGCTCTTGACCTTCATACTGGATTTGGGGTGTGACCACCCCTGCTTAGGCGGGAGGTGGGCTCTTTAGCTGGCTGGGGAGGTCCGGTAGGATCCCACCCCTTTCCTTTCCCCATTCCTACAGGGGGAGAAGAGAGAATCAACGACAGAGATGAGAATTAACACCCCCCCCCCTCCTTTTTATTTTTTGTGTGAGAGAATAATCGTTTGCTGATTCAACCTAATAGTGTCCAGATATGTGACGGTGATCATTCCATACAATATGTGTATTCCTCTAAAATCAATGCTAGGAAATGAGCTGAGATTTGTTCTTTAGAGAGATCTCAGTAGCTGAGCGATTGGGCTCCTGAAGCTCCCACTGATGTAAGTCAGGTGTTACATTCCTCACTACAATGTTGGCTGTGGTGTACAATCATATCTGACGCTCAGAAATTCTGTGTGAAAAGTACATGCATACTAGGGCCAATTAACCCACCAGCATGTCTTTGGTGCGTTGGAGGGAAGCGCAGGAAACCCACGTTCTGCTGCACCACCCGAATAATGACCAATTTCCATAAACTGAAATCTGCAGATTTCATAAATATCTACCTTGGCACCCTAGATGTTGTGGAACTACAAGTCCCATGAGGCATTGCAAGACTTGACAGTTACAAGCATGACCCCCGGAGGCATTTTGGAATTTGTAGGTAAAGCACAGCCGGAGGGCTGGAGTTGCCCACCCCTGTTGTAAGCTGTGCCATGCCTGGCATGCGGTCAGTCTCTAGCATAATGCTAATGTTTTTTTTGTCTTCCAGATCAAACACATGATGGCTTTCATTGAGCAGGAAGCCAATGAAAAGGCAGAAGAGATTGATGCCAAGGTGAGTGCCTGAGGAACAGCAGGACCACACTATACACATGAGAACTGTAGCCTAGAACATGTACGCTGCTTATTAAAAGGCCTTCTGGCATTACCCTGGATGATTCAGAGTGTTATAAAACTATAATTCCAGCAGGGTAGAATATTTCAGGAGAGGAAGGAGCAGTGTCCTCCAACTGTGCAGAGGATTTCAGGAGAGTTTGATAGAGGAAGGAGCAGAGTACTCCAGCAGTGCAGAGGATTTCAGGAGAGGAGCGTTAGATAGAGGAAGGAGCAGAGTCCTCTGGCAGGGCAGAGTATTTCAGGAGAGGAGCGTTAGATAGAGGAAGGAGCAGAGTCCTCTGGCAGGGCAGAGGATTTCAGGAGAGGAGCGTTAGATAGAGGAAGGAGCAGAGTCCTCTGGCAGGGCAGAGGATTTCAGGAGAGGAGCGTTAGATAGAGGAAGGAGCAGAGTCCTCTGGCAGGGCAGAGGATTTCAGGAGAGGAGCGTTAGATAGAGGAAGGAGCAGAGTCCTCTGGCAGGGCAGAGGATTTCAGGAGAGGAGCGTTAGATAGAGGAAGGAGCAGAGTCCTCTGGCAGGGCAGAGGATTTCAGGAGAGGAGCGTTAGATAGAGGAAGGAGCAGAGTCCTCTGGCAGGGCAGAGGATTTCAGGAGAGGAGCGTTAGATAGAGGAAGGAGCAGAGTCCTCTGGCAGGGCAGAGGATTTCAGGAGAGGAGCGTTAGATAGAGGAAGGAGCAGAGTCCTCTGGCAGGGCAGAGGATTTCAGGAGAGGAGCGTTAGATAGAGGAAGGAGCAGAGTCCTCTGGCAGGGCAGAGGATTTCAGGAGAGGAGCGTTAGATAGAGGAAGGAGCAGAGTCCTCTGGCAGGGCAGAGGATTTCAGGAGAGGAGAGTTGGCTGAAGGAAGGAGCAGAGTCCTCCGGCAGTGCATAGTACGTATTTCAGGGGATGTAGTACAAGAGTCATCCAGCAGTGAGTCAGGTTTGTGTAACAACATTGATTTGGCTATTTAAAATGCCATTAAGTTTTTGTATAAATTTTCAGGCGGAGGAAGAGTTTAACATTGAGAAGGGTCGCCTGGTGCAGACTCAGCGGCTAAAGATTATGGAGTATTATGAGAAGAAGGAGAAGCAGATTGAGCAGCAGAAGAAGATGTGAGTACAATATGTTGGCCGGGAGCGCACGCTGCCTCTGATCATATTCCGCAGCTCCGGTGACACTTGCTGAGTGTTTTGGTTCTGTTCTCCCTCACACACTTCCTCCTCCTTTCTGTCTTTCAGTCAGATGTCCAATCTGCTGAACCAAGCCCGATTGAAGGTTTTGAAAGCTCGAGATGACCTGATCGGCGTGAGTATAACTTCTCTCCAGCACTGTCTGATCTACCCGGAGCTCCTCCTTAGATTATCAGCAACCTTTTTGTTCCATGGTGTATGCGGAGCCGCCATTGCTGTGACGGGAGACTCCATATTGTTTGGATGGCTGTGTCGGGAAGGATCATATAAAGCTTCGCCATGTTCTGTCATAACGTTTCCTTCTGTCTCTTCATTGCACAATTTGGTTTCGGAGCTCATGAAAGAGGAACATGAGGATGGCGGCAGTGTGTGGGATTTCTGAGCAGATATTTCCACATTCTTTACACAGGGCATGCCTCACCCCCCTCCCCGAACCAAATGGAACTGTCTGCTGCCTTTTTTCTTTTACACTCTTGTATTAAATAGCCAATCTGCAGTCCTCCACCCACTGACGGGCTACACTTTCCAGAATTCTCATGTGTAAAAGCTGGTGGTCATGTGGGGCCACACATTCCTTGCTAAAACTGTCCCGTGGCCATGTACCTCATACACTGTGCAGGCAAGGCCAGCTCTGGATGGTGTAGGACAGTGTTTCTCAAGTGTGTAAAATCCCAGACACCCCAGTCTAAAATTTAAAAAGCGACGTGTGGCCCCTCCCAATCCTTAAGAGACCCTTATCTCAGATAGGAATCTGGTATGGGTTTTAAGGGGGGACCCCATGCAAAAGTGTGAAAAAACTGACACGAGCCCCCCCTTCCAAATCCCTCCTCACTAGGCTCCCCTCTTCAAAGCAGGAGCTCTCCACATCAGAAGCATCCCTCTCCTATCAGTCTTCGTGTTCTCTAACACCCCATTTTTCACATGAGAAACCTGTTTGCACCACGGAAGGCCATGACGTTGTACAAAAATTGAGGCACCCTTGAGGAAGACGGGTGACACCTCAGGGAGCCCCAGCACCCTGGTTGACCAAGGCTGGTGTAGTGAAGGGTTTGTCAGGTTTGCGTTGCTTGCTGTCCTGTTGTGTAGATCTAGTCTTGCTATTTGTCCTTGGAACAAGTAGGGAATCCAAAATTTTACAGTTGTCACCAGATGAGAAGTAGAGGGGGATCTTCCAACGTGGACACTTGCTCTTTAGACAGCTGTCAGATGCAATTTTTCCCTAATTCAGGCGAGATTTACTGTTGTGCCTTTTTCAGAATAGTTTTCTATATCTTGCTGCATCCAAAATTTTACAAATGGATTTGGCTAGAGTTCCACCTTATTGATCTGCAACCCAAACTAATGATTTTTTTTTTTTTTTTGACCTTGTTACTGAAAATAATGTTAATTTTGGTGATTTGACCCTTGTTAGATTGGGTGGGGTGTCTGCTGGTGTTTCCGGGTGCAGTTGAATACTACAGTTGCACTCCATTCATGATCAAGAGCCAAATTGCAAATTCTCTAACTGGTTGTTCTCTTAGGAACTCCTAAGTGAGGCGAAGCAGCGGCTGGCACGAGTGGTGAAGGAACCTCCACGATACCAGGCCCTGTTGGATGGACTGGTTTTACAGGTAAAGGTCGGATGTAATTTATCTGTACTCTATACACTGATAGCTGTTCTCCATTCCTAACTGATCTCCTTCCTGTCTTCAGGGCCTGTACCAGCTACTGGAATCAAAGGTCTTTATCCGGTGTCGTAAGGAGGACGTGCAACTCCTTAGGGTAAGAGATATCAGAAGATGGCTGTGCAGAGAAACTTGTGCTCATATGCCAGTTATTGGATGATGGAGCAATACATTGAGAGAGAGACTTTTCGTATGTCCCCATACACCTCTGTGTCCCAATGCTTCCTGTAATTTTATCTCTAATATATAAAGTTTAAATCCAGCAGGAATGGTGGGGACCCCTCAATGGGCACAGCAGGTGTACAAACCCAGGAAACTTGGCACAGATGTTGGGAGCCCCTCATAATGGGCACAGCAGGTGTGCAGACCCAGCAACCCAGGTAGGGTCTCAAAGAGGTAGACCTTTAGGCCCCTTTCACACAGGTTGGTCTGATGGGTCTGCCTGACAGACTGACATATGGACCCCCAATCGGATGCCCCGTGTAAGTCTATGGGCAGCCATGTGTAAACGGACAGGCGACTCCAGCCAGGTCCAGAAAAACAAACAGATTGGAGATCTGGATCGGGGGGTAATCTGATGTAAACTGACACACGTCCGTTCACATCCAATTCCCCATAGACTGACATGGGGTTTGGTGATTGCAGTTTTAATTTTTTTTCTTCCAAGATGGAGGTAAAAACTGTACGGACAGGGATGTCACAGCAGGGACATCACTCCATACCTCTGTGATCAGTGGCTCCTCTCCTGATCAACCCGTGTGAAAGGGGCCTAACACTCTCCAGCATCCACCAAAAGGCACAGTGCCTTTTTGTAATGCCAGTCTGGGGGAGGGGGGTTGGTTGTCTATAATCAATCACTCTCCAACGCTACCCTGAAAAAAAAACAGAGAGATCTGCATAACTGGAAAGTCTAACCATGCTTCCTTCAAGCTTATTTAATCGGCATTACATCTGCTGCTTTTACCCTCCTAGAATTCTGTGCAGAAAAATATTCCCATCTACAAGGCCGCAACGAAAAGAGATGTGGAGGTGTTTATAGACCAGGAGGGATACCTGGCCCCCGAGATGTAAGATCTGCATAATATACATTTATTTAAAGGACTGTGGAATGATTAACACCCTGCTGGCTTTTTTTAAAATATTTGTGTATGTATATTTTTCTTTAACCGTCTTTATCAACTGCTCTAATACCCCAACACTGATTAACCCCTGGGATGCTAGATTTATTGAGCTCCGAAAGCTACAACTTGTGTGCTGAAACTACTGATTTCTCCCATTTCCCCCCCCCGAAACCTCCTCTGAACATGCCTTTTATATGACTACAGTAAATTTAAACTTGGTTGTTGTTGCACCGTCTTGCTTAATAAGGCTTTTTCTTCTCCCAGTGCTGGAGGTGTCGAGATGTACAACGCAGATGGCAAGATAAAGGTGGCAAACACACTGGAGAGCCGGCTGGACCTCATCGCCCAGCAAGTAAGTGTCCTTGGATACTTTTTTTATCTTAGTATGTCAGGAGAGACTAGTGCACTGCTTGAGGACTCTGCTCTTTCCTCAAATATTTCAGAAGAGAATGACATAAATAAGGGAGTAGTGTGGATGGGTGGAGCAGAGTCCTCCAGCAGAGTGGAGAGTTGGATGGAGGAAGGAGCAGAGTCCTCCAGCAGAGTGGAGAGTTGGAAGGAGGAAGGAGCAGAGTGGAGAGATGGAAGGAGCAGAGTCCTCCAGCAGAGGGGAGAGTTGGATGGAGGAAGGAGCAGAGTCCTCCAGCAGAGGGGAGAGTTGGATGGAGGAAGGAGCAGAGTCCTCCAGCAGAGGGGAGAGTTGGAAGGAGGAAGGAGGAGAGTCCTCCAGCAGAGGGGGAGAGTTGGATGGAGGAAGGAGCAGAGTCCTCCAGCAGAGGGGGAGAGTTGGAAGGAGCAGAGTCCTCCAGCAGAGGGGGAGAGTTGGATGGAGGAAGGAGCAGAGTCCTCCAGCAGTGCAGAGCTTTTGGGTTGGAGAGGAGAAACACTTCTCCAGTATGACAGATCTGATAATGCTTTGCCATGACCTTTACTGATTTTGTTGCCTTTTCTTTCAGATGATGCCAGAAATTCGAGTTGCTTTGTTTGGGGTGAACACAAACCGCAAGTTCTTGGACTGAGTGCTGCCATTTACTGCCATACAGCTCTCCTAGTGTACAGAAGTGAAATTCCTGAATATTTTATGTTCATTTTTCAGTTGTTGGCTCCATTTTATGTGCTCGGCCTGTTTTAATATATGTATATAGAAGCAGCCTGTGGCAGGTGTTGTGGTCACAATTCCTAGACATTAGTCCTGCCTCCAGATCGAAGAGGAAATGTCTTACAGAACGTGTAGAAGCCCTAAATCCTCGGCAACAGGAGCCTTGACTATTTCACACTCTCCTCTCATGGTTCTAGTCCCTCACCCTGCTCTTGCCTTCTGTGATCACTTATGATGTGCACGGGCTTGTGGCAGCTGGTTATCCAGTGTGTTGCGTGCTCCTGCACAAGCTGTAAGACATGCTGTGCCTTGTACTAACAGTTGCAGCATCTGTCGCTTCCTCCATTTGTGTTCGTCACTCATTGTCTCTCCTCCGATGACCCCTTGTGTTACACGCCTGCCCCAGTCTGGCTTTTGTGATGGCAGCAGTTATTTGTGACGTTGTCTTTATTTATTATAATGGAAACCATGTGATCTATTCCTTGTACTTGTCTAAAAGTAGTGTGGACCTGTTCACAAGGAAACTCCAGGCAAACAGCTTAAAGGAATAAAATATAAATCCGAGTTGTCTGTTCTTAATTTCAAACCATGCTTTGTTACAAATGGTTTCCACATATTGCATTCAGCTTGCTAATAACTGCAGTAAAGTCATCTCTTTACCAGCAACCTGGCAAATTCTGTATTTTTCTTAAGTCAATCCTGACACTACACTGCTGCCATGGGGCTGACCTGGCGTATGCATTACAGATGGGTCATCTCCCCCCACTGCAGCCTATGATTGGACAGTAATGGAGCAACAATAGACTGGTCAGGTCATCCCTCTGCTCTTTCATCTTGTAATGTTGATGACTTGTACATGTGCATACAGCAAAGCTTGATGGCTCAGATCACTACAGGCTGTGGAAGGGATGACAGGGTGCTGAATACAAGCCAAATATAGGCTAAAAAAAACACACACACACACACACACACACACACACACACACACCAGGGTTATTTAATGGATGCAAAATGGAATTCTTTGTGGTCCCTTCAGGTTTAAAATGGATAAATAATGCTTTTGGTGTAGTGTTTATGGGTGGTGGAAAGCCGAACACTGGATCTATAAGAGATCCAGGAGGATGACGACCATGTGGAGATGCTTTTATTTCTTTTTAGGCATCTCTCCTTACTGCAGTGTTAATTTTGTTTCAGTCTTGATCTAAAATGCCATTTAGTTTTACTCATCTGAATTGTTTGTCAAATATCACAAGATTTTGGTGGACTAAATCTTCAGTAGATGTACTCTACTACAATCTTGTGGGTTTAGGTAGAGTCATTAAGAATTTTCAAATGTAATATATACTCCTGGAGTAAACATGTTAATGTGTTATTACTTCTGGTATTAAGGTTTCAACATGCAAATACAGACCTGGCAACTGTTGTGATATATAACATGTCATCTTAAAATGAGATAAAATCTTATAAAGGAACCATACTATGGAATATTTTCACCAAAGGACCGGTGATTAGATGCATTGATTATAATAACTTGCATGTGACATTCTTCATTCTTTCAAGCAGAAGTGCAACTCTAAAATATGGAAAACTATACTGGCTGTAATGCCATTGCACATATTACCTATTCACTGTCCATTCAGGATGGAACCAGAGCTGGAAGTCCAAAGAGATTAGTTCTGATTGGAGCTCTTCCTAAATACCTCTCTAATGTTTTAGTTAGTCGACCGACATGTCCATATATTTCTGTTTTAGTCATCATAACTAAGTTTTTATTTAGTGTTAAGGTGGCCATACACCTTACGATTATCGGACAAAACTTTTCGTCCGATGATCGAACCGTCGTACGACGGCCCCATCCTGCCCCGATTAGCGAAAGGTTCAATCAGTGGTAGTTAAAAGAAAAAAACACGACTTGCGGTAATTGACTGCAATTATTTTTGTATACGAAGTGTTAATCGTACGACTTTTGATGGAAAGAAACGCCACCAACCATGCAAACATTGTACGATTGACCAAAGTTTTCAAACATGCTTGGCTGTCAAATCGTACTATTGGTCGGGCACTACATTCACACGTTACGATTGTCGTACGAAAAGTCAATCGCATACGATTATCTTAAGGTGTATGGGCACCTTTAGTCAAAAAAACAAAAGGGGAGCCTTTCCTAGTGCAGTATCGTTTATTCCAAAAGAACAGGCGAGGTGAACTGACAGGTACTCACAATACTGAAGTTTGAAACAAGCTGTAGCACAGTAAAACCGGAGCAGTAAGAGAATCCGGATAACGTGTCCTGTATAAAGCACTGAAGTGTCGACGCGTTTCTGGGGCACGTCCCCCTTCGTCAGGACATGATCACGTGACTACGTGACTGTAATAGTGTTGCTGACAAGAACCATGATGAAAATTATTCGTTAACAAAATTAACACTGCTTCACCGTAGACTCTTGTACATGAGAATGCCAGCTGCCTAGTGTCATGCTGGTCCACTTTCTTCAGTATTATTGGAGTCACTGAGACCAGAATGCAGATCACAAGTTCTGACCGTCTTGTTCCAGCTTACTGACAAAGTATTTGAAGCCAGACAGCCAACTAGCATGGTCAGTAAAGGTGGTCCTCTTCCTCTCAGTAAAGGTTTTCTTTAACGAGACCCTGTCATATAAGAAGTGACTGAATGTCTCCTGCTGGCAGTGTTAGGCCCCATTCACACCCGCCCTTTTTTTAGCGTCCGGGCTGGCATCCTTCGTGTACATGCGTTGTTACAATGCAAAACGCTGTTTACCAGTTTTTAATTTATTGAAATGTCCTAAATGACATTTTATTCATCTCTATGCAATGGAACATACCCGCATTTCTACACATTGTAACCTACCTCAAAGCAGCAATGTGATGTGAAAATAATTGTTTTCTGTGTCACTGCATATGGTGTGAATGAGCCCTTAATCTTCTGGGTCCCCTGCAGCTCTCCCGGATTCCTCCATGCCACTTGCCTACTCATTATACAGCTTCATAGCTGGAATGTGAGGTAGGCGGCATATGGATGGTGTTATGTCCATGATGCAACATGGAGACCTGGCAGGGGCTTCTGCACGAGTGAGTGTACACTGACAGTCATCAGCCACCAGATTAATGTCAGATATTTAAAGGTGGTGCTGCTGTTTCCTGACATATCCTCTTCATAATAAAACATCAGCTCATCCGGCCCAAATCACAGGCTCGTGCGAGTCCAGAATGACATCTCCACCAACAAGAAACTGGACTGTTCACAGATTTAAACAATTTATTAATGATTTCCACATGGATTACGATAGTGACTATGCTTATTGCCCACCAGAATTATAACATCAATTAACTTTACAGAAATTCCATAAAAAAATATATATTTTTAAAACAAAATTATACAAACCAGAAAAAAAAATGTAAAATGGACGTTTTTGCACTTCTATCTCCTGTAAACAAAGGAATATCTGTTACCCTGCAGCTGGGAGGAATCAGGTTGGCTTATACGCTGCCTGATTGGATGATGAGAAGAAATTGGGAAATGATGTACCTGACCAGATGCAGAGAGTGGTATTCACACTGACAAGAAGGGTGGGCACCGCTTCTACTGAATGCTCCATCACCGGCAGCCATGTTTGTTGTGTCTAACAGCATTCAGCCTATTGGTTCTATATATAAAAGTGACAGCTCTGATTGGCAGCCCTCTCTTCCATTATATATCATTGTAAAAGAATTGAATGAATTGCTGATACATTTTAGTGTAATATTTCATAATTAAGGGAGAGTTAAAGAGGAATTCTGGGCATATTAAACATTAACCCTTGCAGTGGGGCTACACTCGCACTTCAAGGGTTAACTGCTGATTTTGGTCTAGGGTCTAAAATAATAAAGATATACTCACCTGATTCTCAGTCCCGCCTGGCTGCGATCTAGGTCCCTGCAGCCTCATCTCCCTCAGTCCAAGGACCCGTGACATCATCACGTCCTTTCATTTGCATTGGATGCAAGGACGGCCGAGGGACATTCCACAGCAGGAAATGAGGAGAGAGGTGAGCGGTTACCGCTGCAGGACCGAGGATCAGGGGATTATATATGTTAATTTTACACTGTAGACCAAAACGAGTATTTAAGTCTGGCGGGGTGAGGGTAGCCCAACTGCAAGGGTACTGTTTAATATGCCCGGAGTTCTTATATAAAAGGGACAGCTGCAGTCCAACAGTTAGCTACAGTGCTGAAACATAGGTTGCATCTATGTGACCTGCCAGAAACGTTGCAATTTAAAGTATATCAAGTCAAAAACATAAGAGTAGGGAAAGGTAACCTTGCCATATTGTAACCTCTGTCTGTGCCCCTTTTGCAGATTTCCCCTCACTTCCTGTTGGGTGAAACCGTTGTCACTGGGACAGAAGGAGAGAAGAAATCTCTAATTGAGCCCCAGATAACTGTAAAACCCAACAGATGTTCAAGCCATTTCCTTTATCTTATCTTTATACAAAACAAAAAAAAAGTTGTGGCTTGCCATGCAGTTTAATGTACATATATGTGTGCTGCTTGAACCTGCTTTGCTATATGGTCACAGAGTATAAGGAGACCATGCATTGCAGAGCCTATAATACTGCATACCACTACACTGCCTCCTGCCTAATATTTGGGCTACACTGGTGATTGCTAAGGGCTGGGCGGGATGATTTATGGCCCTTACACATCTCCCAGGATGCTCTGGCTGGAAAGGGGACGGCAGGAGCACTGCAAACATTGTGCAGCAGAGCGGCCCACATGACCCAAAGAGATACCGCCTGAGGCAACAGCCTCCGTTTGCCTCATTATAGGAATGGCCCTAAACACAGCACAGCAACCAGCTACAAACCCCACTACAAAATGGCTGCTAGTAATTTTGAAGCTCATCAATTGCTATGCAAAGACTTGCTTCCGATATACAGTATTTTGCTGTATAATGATGGTAGGAAAATCATTTTCTATACATATAAAATAGAAGCAAATTAACTATTAAACAGCTTCATTACAGAATCAGACTTAAATCGGCAGGTTTCAGGAACTTATATAGTGAGCTCCTGTGTAGACCTTGCAAGATTTCACTGCCTGCAATAATCAATTTCTACCACACGATGGCAGCATTGCTACGGTCAGTTCTATCGCAGAATACAGTTACTTCACATTGAAGTGAATTAGAACATTTTAAGTGTTAAAAAAAAATCAATATATTCAATACAAAATATATTTTAACTATAGTGCATCCAACAAGACTGCAACATTCCCTGCAACCTATTAATACTAATTATACTGCAAATGACTGCAGTTACAACAATTATTAAGGGGAAGAAAAATATTAAAAATGATAATTTCTCTCACAGTGTAATTACAAGGAATCAGATGCAATCATCAGACTTGAATGAACATAGTTGATGGACTTTATCAGTAATAGGCGGAGTCTGCTGGGCTAATTTACCCATTACTTACACCTCTCAGGGTCTCCAGTGCTGAGAAATCCCTGCTTTAAATTCCCATCTTAGGGTGAGTGAATTGACATGTTCAACCCTATTTCTGACTCTGCTTTCTGACTCTGCTCATGACCACCTTAAAGTTTAACTTCCCAACTCCTATGCATCTGCCACACACTACTGCATTCTCTAGCACCGAGACTGGAAACCCTCAATAATGAGCACAGCAAGTGTGCAGACCCAGGAACTCAGTGCAGAAATGGTGTGAGCCTCTCATAATGGGCACAGCAGGTGTACAAACCCAGGAACTCAGCACAGGGATGGTGGGAGCCCCTCATAATGGGCATAGCAGGTGTACAGACCCGGGAACTCAGCACAGGGATGGTAGGAACCCCTCATAATGGGCATAGCAGGTGTGCAGACCTGGGAGCTCAGCACGGGGATGGTGTGAACCCCTCACAATGGGCACATCAAATATGCAGACACCAAAACTTAGTTCAGGAATGGTGGGATCTCCTCATAATGGACACAGCAGGTGTTCAGAGCAACTCAGCGCAGAAATCTCACCAATGGAGTCCCCAAGGGACAGGCGAGACTGACAGAGGGGGGTTAATGCTCCAGCATGCACCAAACGCTAAATCCATTTTGGGGGGTTTGAGCATTTACTTGCAGGGATTCAAGTTTTTGCACTGGAAGAAAAATGGAACAATCAAATTAGGAATTACTGGATCTTCCATATTTGTGATGATGCAGCAGCATACAGATAAAATGTCTCCACCTCAGTAGAAGTCGCTCTGAGTTATCCAAGCTGCAAAACAACATCAATAAACGTAGAAAGTCGAGGATGAAAAAGTCTCTTCTAGAATAGAAGCTACAGGATGGCTCCATTGCTCCGCTCTAATCATTCAGGGTCTCAGAATTGTTGTCCTGATGTTTGTTCTCTACCAGAGATTTCAGATTTCGTGCTGCGACTTACTTGGAATGTCCCAAAATAAATTCACCTATTCCGATAAAATACACAACTTGTGCTATTCCAAAGAGAGGGGCGATGACCAGTGCTCTGCACCAGGCTCCCTTCATAAATGCGGAGGGACCCTCATTCCTCCAGATCTTCCTATAGCAGGAAAGAAGATGGTGATTGGTATGAGAAAATAACAATGTTTTCCTCCTCTGCAGCGTGAGATTACCACCACTCCTATTCTCCTTCTGTATGGTGTGTGATTACTATCACTCCTATTCTCCTCCTGAACCATGTGGGGGTTACTATCAGTCCTATTCTCCTCCAGTATGGTGTGTGATTACTATCACTCCTATTCGCCCCCTGAACCATGTAAGGGTTACTATCAGTCCTATTCTCCTGTACAGTGTGGGATTTCTATCAGTCCTATTATCTTCCTGTATTATTAATATTATACAGGATGTATAGAGTGCCACAGTTTGCACATCTTTACAGTATATGGGGTGACAGTACAGTTACAGTACAATATCATACAGGAGGATTGGAAGGACCCTGCTCTGTATGGTGTGCAATTGCTATAACTATTCTGCTCACTGTTCTCCTGTACAGTATGATGTTACTAGGACTCCTATTCTCCTCCTTTACAGTGTGGGGATTACTATCAGTCCTTTCTCCTCCTGTATGGTGTGGGATTACTAGGTCTCCTATTCTCCTGTACAATGTGGGGAATACTAGGACTCCTATTCTCCTCCTGTACTGTGTGGGGATTACTATCAGTCCTTTCTCCTCCTGTATGGTGTGGGGTTACTAGGACTCCTATTCTCCTCCTGTACTGTGTGGGGATTTCTATCAGTCCTTTCTCCTCCTGTATGGTGTGGGATTACTAGGACTCCTATTCTCCTCCTGTACTGTGTGGGGATTACTATCAGTCCTTTCTCCTCCTGTATGGTATGGGATTACTAGGACTCCTATCCTATTCTCCTCCTGTATGGTGTGGGATTACTAGGAAATAGGAATCCTATTCTCCTCCTGTACTGTGTGGGGATTACTATCAGTCCTTTCTCCTCCTGTATGGTATGGGATTACTAGGACTCCTATCCTATTCTCCTCCTGTATGGTGTGGGATTACTAGGAAATAGGAATCCTATTCTCCTCCTGTACTGTGTGGGGATTACTATCAGTCCTTTCTCCTCCTGTATGGTATGGGATTACTAAGACTCCTATTCTCCTCCTGTACTGTGTGGGGATTACTGTGTGGGGATTTCTATCAGTCCTTTCTCCTCCTGTACTGTGTGGGGATTACTAGGTCTCCTAGCCTATTCTCCTCCTGTATGGTGTGGGATTACTAGGTCTCCTATCCTATTCTCCTCCTGTATGGTGTGGGATTACTAGGACTCCTATTCTCCTCCTGTACTGTGTGGGCATTACTATCAGTCCTTTCTCCTCCTGTATGGTGTGGGATTACTAGGTCTCCTATCCTATTCTCCTCCTGTATGGTATGGGATTATCAAAGACCAAACGGTTCCCACTCATCAACATCATTAGAGTCCAGATGGAATACATACTTGTTTAATCAATGGTCAAAAAGAACCATAACCTTTACATTTTATAAAAATGTAAAGGTTATGGTTCTTTTTGACCATTGATTAAACAAGTATGTATTCCATCTGCACTTTTTAATGACGTTGATGAGTGGGAACCGTTTGGTCTTTGATAGTTTTATCAGCAGCGCAAGAGTCCATTTGGAAAACAGTAAATTATATTTGTGTACATATACATTGAATTGTCCTGCAAAAAGGATTTCTGAATCACTGATCCACCAGCTTTGTGTCTTGAACACACACTTTTTTTTCTCTCCTGTGTTCCCCAGCTGTCTTTTTCATGTTAAGGGATTACTAGGACTCCTATTCTCCTCCTGAACACTGTGGGGCATAGGCGTGCGCAGCCTATTGCATTAGGGTGCGCACATAAAAGTAGAAACATACACGCGTAGATATATATATATATATATTGTATACACATAAAGTATTATATTGTATACACATAAAGTATATATACATACATACACACACACACACACACACACACACACACACACACACACACACACACACACACACAGACAGACCTGAACCGTCCTGGATTCCCATCTCTTCAACTGACCCTTACCTCGTCCAGCAGGGGTGCAGTATTAAAGAAGGAAGCCTGGTTATAGTCATGTGACCTCTCGCCTGGCTTCCTGATTGGATGGGAAGTTGCAGCCACTCTCCCTCTCAGCTTCCCAGGCACCGAGGACTACTGGTGTTATGTGAGGAATGTAAGTGGCAAGTGCTGTTGCGTTCTGTATCACTGAGCTGATCACAGAGAGATCTTTGTGATCTCTCCACTGGCTCAGTGACTAAAAACACGGCATCTGCTGATGCAGTTTCAGTGTTGTGCTCGGGGTGATAAGGGTGTGCTCAGGCACAGCCGGTACACGCCCTGCGCACGCCTATGGCGTGGGGATTACTATCAGCCCCATTCTCCTCCTATATGGTGTGGGATCTCTGTGACTACTATTCTCCTTCTACACAGCATGGGATTACTATCAGAAATAAAAACTGTTACAAGCCATTATTGCAGTTGATAGCAGCTGCCTTTGCCTTGAGATTTTAGCATAGCTTTATAGCCTGTTGAATTTGGCAATATATGCATCAATTGTGGGTGTATCCAGAGCTACAGAGGCCTATTGGGCCCTTACTACTTGGCAGGACCGCCTGTGGCATGCTGTGCCTGCCTGGCAAAGCATGCTGGGATTTGTAGTTCCTTTGAAGATGGAGGTCAGTTAGCACAGGGTGCGTGGTAAAAGCTTACCTGGCGCAGTCTATAATCCCATTATACGTATCTTCACCAATTCCCTTCTTCAGTGTCTGTATCCGCGTTTTTAGCACTGAAATAGAATTAATATTTATATTATTCTATGATCACATGATCCCTAAAGGCCCAGCTTCCGCACCTAAGGGCCAGAGCTGTGGGTGGGGAGAGGGCTCGGCATGTCATCCCAACAACACAAATGTAACATATAGGTCTTTACCGGTCCTTATATGTGGTGGCTGCATTCCTTTTTCTTTTGAGTGGTGAGCGGTTAGAACCTCTTTTAGGCTTTTATCAGTGTCCTCATTAGGGACATTTACTCTCTAATTGCCCTGATCACCAATGTGACCGGGAATGAAAGGGAGGGTAAATACGAAATTCTAAGTTGTCACCAGAACAGGAATAGAGGAGAGGCCTTCCAATGAAAACACTTGTTCCTGTGACAACTGTCTAAGAGGGAATAGCCCTCACATTGGATCCTCTCACTTCCTGTTGTGTCTACAGGACAGGACGTAATAGGAAATAAGAGGGGATAGCTCTCACATTGGATCCTCTCACTTCGGGTTGTGTCTACAGGACAGGAAGTAATAGAAAATAAGAGGGGATAGCCCTCACATTGGATCCTCTCACTTCCTGTTGTGTCTACAGGACAGGAAGTAATAGGAAATAAAAGGGAATAGCTCTCACATTGGATCCTCTCACTTCCTGTTGTGTCTACAGGACAGGAAGTAATAGAAAATAAAAGGGAATAGCTCTCACATTGGATCCTCTCACTTCCTGTTGTGTCTACAGGACAGGAAGTAATAGGAAATAAAAGGGAATAGCTCTCACATTGGATCCTCTCACTTCCTGTTGTGTTTACAGGACAGGAAGTAATAGGAGATAAGAGGGAATAGCTCTCACATTGGATCCTCTCACTTCCTGTTGTGTCTACAGGACAGGAAGTAATAGAAAATAAGAGGGGATAGCACTCATATTGGATCCTCTAACTTCCTGTTGTGTCTACAGAATAGGAAGTAATAGGAAATCTCCCTAATGAGGCACAAATTGCAAAAAAATTAATACTGAAATCAGCAGTTTGAATCCTCCCCTACTGTATCCAAACTAAAATGAAAGGCTTTTGGCTTTACATATACTTTAACATTCAATTTACTAAATTGTAACTCGTGTAATTTTTGTGTGTTATTGTGTAAAATGTGTAGAATATGCTTTGCTCCACTGCTCCAAAAGCTCTCAGCCCATAATTCATCAGCCGTGGGCATGCCGGGTGCCGACCACATGAGCCGACCTCTGCTGCATAGCCACAACATTCAAACAGTCGCTCTGCTGGTGATGTCACTCTTAATAAACTTTATTTACACAACACAAGTACATGCTGAAGCCCCCGCCAAGGTGGGGACTGCGGCGTGTACTCGTGTTGTGTCAATAAAGTTTATCGGGAGCGCGACCGTTTGTTTGTACATAATGTTATTGTCCACTGTCATTGCTAAAAATAACAAGCGGTATGACTTAGTCTTTAGGACAGCAAAGTATTTGCGCTCACCATCAAGTGGCGTCACAGCCACGGCAGCCACGGATCCAGCGGCGCATCCCGCAAAGAAGGAGTGGTAAAACGGCGCCTTTTCATTGGGCGATTTTTGTCCCAGTTTGTTGATGTTGGCAAAAAGCGGAAAATAGATGACGGAGAACGGGACGTCTCTGTGTGGGAGAGAGAGAAGCGTTATATTTTTCAAAGTGGGGATTTTGGTTTCATATCTCAGCACAGAGGACCTTATCTCACCTGAATAGCGTAGCCCCCAGACCCTTATACACTCCAGAGACGCCCTGGGTTCGGAGAAGTTCTCTCGCTATCCGTAAGGCGGATGGTTTCTGGGAGGGCTGAGAGATGCTCGCCTGTCCGTCACCAGCTACGACTCTCTGTGTTGCTGCAACAGAAAAGTCCAGAGTTCAGCTATAGGAAGCCTGACAAATTGGCATCCATATTGTCTACTGAACACACATTCTAATTATTAATCCACCATGAACTATGACATCACCTCAGCAGTTGTTGCCTAACACTTGGTGCCGTCACTAGTTCCTAGTGTATCATTAGTCTTGATTTCATGAATATTGGCTAAGCTTGCAATATGGGTGCCATGGATTTAAAGGGCCGCTTACCCAGGCGTCCTGCATCTTGCAGCTGAATTTTCAGCATCTCCATGGGGGACGTCACCACAACCTGACAGGTCCCAGCCCCACAACCTGCCAACATTTCTCTGAGCAGTGTCAGTTCCTTCCTGCAACCACAAGAGGGAGTGAGAGACCAGCAAGTCATATCAGTGCAGAATTTCATAAGCTGTTCTATATCAGAAAACAGAACAGCACAGAAGAGAATATCTTTTTTTTACCATTCAATAAATCTTTATCAACACATTTTAAAACAAAACAACAGTAAAAACAAGGAGTAACGAAATGGGGTAGAGTGGAACATTAGAAGAGAATATCTTTTTAAAAAAATGTTGAAAACATATAATGAACTAAACAAGGAATGAAACAAAAGAAAATAGGAGCAAACAGAAAAATTCCCTCTTGAAGCAGAAAAGAAGAAGATAAAATAATAGAAACATTTCGGAGAAGAGCAGAGAAGCTCCAGCACTGCTAGCAGTTCAGAAATATACAGACAGCCCATATAAGATGTGCGCCATTCATACAGACAGGAAAAAATATATCTGTGAAAAAAACAATATATTTATCTGCAAATCAGATTCAGACAGTTACAAAGTGTATAACAATTCTAGATTGGGTGTAGGACTGAAAATGTATGTGGGGGCAGTTTTCCCCCCCAAAAAAATAGGCAGCAATAATAAGACGGGCAGCACTGCAAAGGATAATGCCAACCTGCCTGGGAATTGTCACCCGAAATGCATGTTAAAATATCATTAGGAATGCGTTACTTAAGAAGGGCCAGTGGCAAAAACAACAATGTTATTGCTGGGGAATAGAGCAGAGAATAATGCAAAAGGAGGGAGCAGAAGAGAGTGTGGCACAGAGCAGAGGAGAGCAGGACAAATAGAGGAGAGCCAAAGGAATGAGCACAGCACAGAACAGAAACAAGGAATGAGAGCAGGACAGAGCAGAAGGAGAGGATAAGGGAGCAAGACAGAGTAGAGGAGAGCAGGGCAGAACAGAGGAAAGAAGGACAGAGAAGATGACATGAGAGAAAAACAGTGCAGGATAGCAGGACAGAGGATCGCAAGACAGAGCAGAGGAGAGAAGAAAAGAGAAGGGCAGGACAGTCCAGAGGGGAGCATAACATAAAGGAACAGGACAGTGCAGAGGAGATCAGGACAGAGGAGAGGGAAGGAGAGCAAGACTGTACAGAAGACAACAGGACAGAGCACAACGAATCTGGATAGAACAGAGTAGAAGAGAGCAGGACATAATAGAGGGGGATAAAAGCAGGACAGAACAAAAGAGATAAACAGGAGAACGCAGAGGAAAGAGAAGCATAACAGTGCCTAGGGGAGCAGGAGAGTGCAGAGGAGGACAGAACAGAAGAGGACAGGATAAAGCAGAAGGAATCTAGGCAGAACAGAGCAAAGAAGAGCAGGACAGAGCAAAACAGAAGAAAGCAGGACAGAGCAGAGGAAAGCAGAACACAGCAAAGCAGAGAAGAAAACAAATTAGGACAAACAGGGGAGAGGGGAGTAGGACAGAGTGGAGGAACGTAGAGGAGAGCAGGACAAAGAGAATGGAGGGGAGCAGAACAGATTTGAGGCGAGTTGGGAAGAGTGGAGGACAACAGGGCAGAGCAGAGAAGAGGCCCAGAAAGCAGAACAGTTAAAAGGAGAGCAGGACAGAACAGAACAGATAGGAGGAGAGAAGGCTGGGGCCTAGTACAGGGGAGGAATAGAAAGAGAGCAGGACAGTGCAGAGGAAAGGGGAGTATGTCTGTTCAGAGGAAAGGGGAGTAGGACAGTGCGGAGGAAAGGGGAGCAGGACAGTGCGGAGGAAAGGGGAGCAGGACAGTGCGGAGGAAAGGGGAGCAGGACAGTGCGGAGGAAAGGGGAGCAGGACAGTGCGGAGGAAAGGGGAGCAGGACAGTGCGGAGGAAAGGGGAGCAGGACAGTGCGGAGGAAAGGGGAGCAGGACAGTGCGGAGGAAAGGGGAGCAGGACAGTGCGGAGGAAAGGGGAGCAGGACAGTGCGGAGGAAAGGGGAGCAGGACAGTGCGGAGGAAAGGGGAGCAGGACAGTGCGGAGGAAAGGGGAGCAGGACAGTGCGGAGGAAAGGGGAGCAGGACAGTGCGGAGGAAAGGGGAGCAGGACAGTGCGGAGGAAAGGGGAGCAGGACAGTGCGGAGGAAAGGGGAGCAGGACAGTGCGGAGGAAAGGGGAGCAGGACAGTGCGGAGGAAAGGGGAGCAGGACAGTGCGGAGGAAAGGGGAGCAGGACAGTGCGGAGGAAAGGGGAGCAGGACAGTGCGGAGGAAAGGGGAGCAGGACAGTGCGGAGGAAAGGGGAGCAGGACAGTGCGGAGGAAAGGGGAGCAGGACAGTGCGGAGGAAAGGGGAGCAGGACAGTGCGGAGGAAAGGGGAGCAGGACAGTGCGGAGGAAAGGGGAGCAGGACAGTGCGGAGGAAAGGGGAGCAGGACAGTGCGGAGGAAAGGGGAGCAGGACAGTGCGGAGGAAAGGGGAGCAGGACAGTGCGGAGGAAAGGGGAGCAGGACAGTGCGGAGGAAAGGGGAGCAGGACAGTGCGGAGGAAAGGGGAGCAGGACAGTGCGGAGGAAAGGGGAGCAGGACAGTGCGGAGGAAAGGGGAGCAGGACAGTGCGGAGGAAAGGGGAGCAGGACAGTGCGGAGGAAAGGGGAGCAGGACAGTGCGGAGGAAAGGGGAGCAGGACAGTGCGGAGGAAAGGGGAGCAGGACAGTGCGGAGGAAAGGGGAGCAGGACAGTGCGGAGGAAAGGGGAGCAGGACAGTGCGGAGGAAAGGGGAGCAGGACAGTGCGGAGGAAAGGGGAGCAGGACAGTGCGGAGGAAAGGGGAGCAGGACAGTGCGGAGGAAAGGGGAGCAGGACAGTGCGGAGGAAAGGGGAGCAGGACAGTGCGGAGGAAAGGGGAGCAGGACAGTGCGGAGGAAAGGGGAGCAGGACAGTGCGGAGGAAAGGGGAGCAGGACAGTGCGGAGGAAAGGGGAGCAGGACAGTGCGGAGGAAAGGGGAGTAGGACAGTGCGGAGGAATGGGGAGTAGGACAGTGCGGAGGAGAGTAGAATATAATAAATTGTACCCCTCTTGAGAAAGAGTATTTCGAAAGAAGTCATTAGCTGCCAGTTTAATAGCTTTCTCTGGCGTCACGAGGGTGAGATTTACAGCCGCACCTGTCAGTGAGAGAGAGAAAAGGTCACAATTAGCACAAGCAGCTGTACACTGAAAGTTTAAATGTTGTACACAAAATGTACAGAAAATAAGGACAAAAGAAGAAAACAAACACTTGTAAAGCATAGTTGTGTATAGATATATGGATATAGTTGTATGGATATAGTTGGGTATAGATATACGGATATAGTTGTGTATAGATATATGGATATAGTTGGGTATAGATATACGGATATAGTTGTATGGATATAGTTGTGTATAGATATACGGATAGAGTTTATCTATGAATTTGGTTGTTGTACATAAGATATACAGCAGGTTTTGCACAGATAAAATCTATCCAGTGATATTTTGGGGAGCTTTCCTCATTTTTACACCAGTGCAGCTTTATGGCTGTTGAGCTACAAATCCCAGCAAGTCAATCCTGGCAGCCATGGACAGATTAGACAAGCTGGGACTTGTAGTTCTTTGGCAGCCATTGTGGTCCATGTTGGCCCTGGCCAGGGAAGGTGTATGGTCACCTCTCCATGCTAACATTGTATTATGGGGAATTGTGTGTCAGTGAATCTAACAGGTAACACGCGGGATGAGATCACAAGACCGCTGACTGTTGCATCACAGCCCTTGATGTTTGCCCCGCAAGGCCTCCTGGGATTCCGCTGGGCTAATAAAATAACATTGCAACACAAAACTTTGATCTGATTCCCAACCAATACCTCTGTACATTCCAAAGAATCCTTCTGAGCGAACCGTCTTTACGAGGCAGTCAAACCTGAGAGGGAGAGAGAGGGAACGGGAGGGAGAGAGAGGGATGTAGGGACAGGAAGAGAGAGAGAGTCGGGAAGGGAGATGGATGAAGAGAGGGAGAGTGGGGAAGGGAGCGAGAGGGAGGGAGAGGGAGAGTGGGGAAGGGAGCGAGAGGGAGGGAGAGGGAGGAAGGGAGCGAGAGAGAGAGAGGGAGAGTGGGGAAGGGAGGGAGAAGGATGGGGAGGGAGTGTGGGGAAGGGAGGGAGATGGATGGAGAGAGGGAGAGTGGGGAAGGGATGGAAAAGGATGGAGAGGGAGAGTGGGGAAGGTAGGGAGATGAATGAAGAGAGGGAGAGTGGGGAAGGGAGGGAGATGGATGAAGAGAGGGAGAGTGGGGGAGGGAGGGAGATGAGTGACGAGGGGGAGAGA